TGCTTTTCTGAAAGAGAGGTTCATCCATACTAAACTTGTTGTATGTTTATTTTTTATTAAATTATTCAGAAAATAATATACGCTCAAGAAATGAAAACTAATCATTTGTAAAATAGGACATTGTGACAACTATAAAGTCATAAAAATCTATTTTTTTTTAGAATGATACTTAATCACAGGTGTTGCCGATGCAAAATCAACATAACAAGTTTTTTTTTGTATCTAAGGTCATCCTGTGTGTAGAGGGTTTTTAAATAGAAAGCAGACATATTCTCTTCAAGATTCAAACACTATTTCTTGAGCAGAATTTGAGTCGAGGAACTTCATACAGTGCTTACGTGGATGGCTTACAAAAGAATGGCGCCAGGATACAGAGAAGCAACAAGTCGGGAGTGGCATTTCGAAGAGCACTGACGACCGACGAGGAGCTGCTTTAGTACCTTCAAATAAAAGACGTTTTCACAGGAAGTTTCCAAGGGAATGTTTGATGTTTTCATCGAGTGGTCGACTGCGATCAAAAGAATCCAAAAAATATCAACGGATCTCTGGTACCATTAGGTTTTGAAAGTACTATACAATATAGAAATGTTCCTATTCTCTGCTTCCAGGATTAAGTCAAGTGAGGTCCGATGGCCGATGCATTACTTGTAATTTATGAAGGCTCATATTACTATTAATACAATATCTAAACACTAGTTTTCGAGATGATTGGATTACTTATTTGATATCAACGCATGAGAAAAAGAGAAAATTGCAAAAACCTGCACTTGAACACCTTTTGATTTTCATCAAAAACTAAAATAAGCCATTGAAGAAGACGATCTTTATGATGCATTTTACTGGTAGATGAACGTATTTTTCTCTTATAAAAATCTTTTTCTATTCATTTATCTATATTATTTATTTTATCCTATTTACATCATTCTATTGTACGTTTCTCAATTATGTCTTTTTGTCGAAAATATTAAAGATTTCAGGAAAGATGTATATCAGACAGTATAGTAAAAGTCGGAGAATAGTCGATATATAATTGCTTTTTCTGTTTGAACTAGACTTAAAATTTTTGTTAGACTATATTGAAGCCATTTGAGAGTATCAAAATCACTCAAGCGGACTTTTAAAAACATACAATCGGTGAGATGAACGCTCGAAAATTTGAAATATATATTTTTTGTTTGTTTTGTTCTGATTTCAAGCTTCTAGGCAGCCATCAGATTCCGTCGACTCGAAAACTGTATCCTATCAAACATTCATTTTCTATTCCTCAATCACTGTTAAAACCATCAATATTAATCAAAGATTCAAGTACTCGAGAAAAGAAACATCTAAAGCGCATAATATTGAATACTTTAGTAGAGTCAAGTCAATCAGAATAATAGTTTCAAATGGTATGATTAATTTTGATTTATGTTCGACATATATTTTTGTTAATTTCATAGTCAAGAAGAAAAAATATACTCAGACAATCATTCGAACTATAGTTTTTAGGAAAATTTTGGAATTAGTTTTAACATTTTTTCTTTTTTTTCTAGTTCGACTAATTTCGACTAAATTAACATTCACTAACGTAAATGTGACACTGTTATTTTCACTAAGACACGCAACCACACTCTGTTGAAGCCTATAGCCAGCAAAGTGAATGATAGTTTTTCAGAATATACGATCGTCTTCAAGTTCACATGAACACTCATATGCTCAAATCATTTGTCACGTGAAGTGATTTTTAGATTGATCGAAGTGCATCGTGACAATTATCATTTGTCGTTGCTATTCTGTGAGTCGATCGTTCTTCTAGAATATACTAATTTTGGTATTCTTCATTAAATGAACAAGAATCTTAATCTGAAGAACGATCTATTCATAATGCTTGGAAAGTCAGCAGAATTATTAGGAGTAATTCGATGTAACTATCTCGAAATCAACAATGTATTATTTTTCTAATATGAGAATAGAATACAATGATACATTCTCTTTTTTTTTTATTAACGAATAAAAACCGTAATTATTTTCACTGCTGTTGACGTTTTCCTTGTTGTTTCTGTACATAGATGAATGCTTCAGTAAATTTATCGACAAGTTTGATATCATTTTCATCCATTTGTCGTTCACATTTATTTTCTAGACGGGGTTGTATGATATTTTGATTGAGATATTCTTGGAGTAGTTTCATTGCTTTCGTACTTTTTATTCCATATTCTTGCTTGCTTACTTCACTAATAAAATTGTTCATTGCTCTTTTCAACAATCTACCACCTGAATTCGATTGCTGTTCAATGATTCTTTGTAAATCAGCTCGCTGTATTGAAGCCATACCAAAGGTAATATTAAGAGCATCAAAAATTCGACGATAATCTTCAATCGCTTGATGATTGTTAGTTAAATGATCAATATCATTCTTAAATTGGTTTTCACGTCCAATAACTGGACCAAGCAATTGTCGAACATTAGCATTCAATTGGTGTTTGGTCTTTTCAAAAATAGCAAATTTGTCAGACGATTGTAGAATATTGGTAATGAGTTTATGTGTTCGATTGTCAAAGCCTCCAGTTGAATTGAACTGTTTAATAGTTGTTGTGAAAAGATCACGAATTTCAGTTTGTTCAAGTTTAATAACATGTTCAAGAGCATTTTGTAGAACTATGCCAAACATATCGGTGAGTGGCAATTTATTGACATGTTTATCCATAGTAGTAAGTGCATGTGAAAGAATGTCTTGGTCATTATTGCTAATTACATGTTGACTACTAGGTATGTGATGATGAAAAACGTCGTGTGCAGTCGCGCAACAAAAGCAAGTGGTTTATATTTAATTGGCGATCTTGTTCTAACAAAATCACCTGACAGTAATGATACAGTGGCGATGATGTTTAAAACCATGAGAACCGAAAGAATGATCAAATTTGCACTTGAATTTCCTGAAGAATCTCAAAGGGAAAGATTTTGTGATATTTCATAATGTGCGATCATTGAATAAACATTTTTTGGACATCAAATCTGACAAAACATTTTTGTCTGCTTTTATGATAAGTCTTGCGGAAAAATGGACAAAACCTGGTGACTCTTTGGAAATCGAAGGTTTCAAGATAGTTCAAAGACGTGATTGTAATCATATACGAAAACCATATGGTCAAAAAACTTGTTTAAAAAATGACTTGAACTATGAAAATATTATCGAAAGATGTGAATATTTAGGATAAAATCATATTGAATATTCCTCAATAAAAATTGATGATATTTGTATTATTTACGTTTACAGTTCACCAAATGCGTCATTCGATGTTTTAAAACAAAATATTAATGAAATTATAACGGTTTCAAAACGATTTTGTGAAAATATAATTGTCGCGAGTGATATTAATATAGATTTGACGATTAAAACCAATTACAAATTCGTTGAATACATGGAATCGTTTGGGCTTACTTTGAAGAATAAATTAGGTAAAAACTCAACTAATGCTAAAACACAGATTGACTATTGCTTCACTAATTTGAATGACTTCAAATCTGACTATTTTAAAAGTCTCACAAGTTTTCATAAACCGATATGGATAAGAAAACATCCAATTGTGACTGAATCTCATGTTGATAAAAACAAACATATTCGTACAGATATGTCTTTTAATCTCGAAGATCTTAAAATTAATGATCAATCTGCCATGATGAAAATTGACGACGAATCTTCTTTCGAAAGTCATAAAAGCATTGATTTAAACTCAAGAAAGATTCTTGATCGCTTTCTTTCTGTACATGATATTAATAACAATACTGTGATCATAAACCAAATTTTAAGTCAAGCTCAAATAATTAATCAGTCACTTGAAAGATCACCATATATAACTGTACATAACAAAGATTAATCTGTTAAACTGAGACAGAAAACAGAATATTCTGTTCAAACATTCGACTCAGTCTACGCAAGAACCCACACGACTGAAGATGGCAATTGTTTATATAATTCTCTTTCGATACTTAATATTGGTTCTGAAAGACTAGCACAGTCAATGCAATGATTAATAATAGTGATCATTTTAAAGAATTTGCAAAGCATTGAATTATTCATTTGAAGAACAGATGAAAAGAACTGTCACGGATGCAAAATGGGGTGGAGAAGTTCAAATTCAAGCCCTTTCTGTAGCCTTATGTCAGCCTATTTATTCATATGTCAGATTCGAGAGTAATTCAAAAAATGGACACTATATTCCATCCGATATCAGTCTACAAAAATTGATCGATCGATTCGATAAAGAAACCGCAGGTGGTCATCTTAAATATATTGGATGCAAATCAGATATGAACAAATTGAGTTTATGTATTTATTTCACCAGAAATCATTATGATGCTCGCTTACGTTTTCTAAATAATCCTCAAGAATTTATACCCAAACATGATATACTTAATATGAATTTATAAAATGAAGGAAGGTTCCATAAACTCATCAAAATAATTAATTAAAATATACAAGTTTTCATTTATGTAAATAAATAAAGACTCCAGAGCTAACTCCTTGCCACGTCTCACGGGACAGAAAGAGAACATCGACAGTGCAGAAGGGGCAGTTTCTTGCTAGAGGTCAATAAATGAAAATAAATTTGTTTAGGATAATTGAATAAGAAAAAGAGAAAAAAGTGTTAACCCTAGTGAAATGGTCTTATTCTATTGTGGTAAAAGTGCAGTTGTAAGTAAGCAAACAGGAAGTTCTCTTAAATATTGTTTAAGTGTACTTGCAGGAACATGTGGATCATAATTAAATTCATTTAATGTTGTTCCTCTATCAATTGTTTGTAAATTAAGTTCAGCAACAATTTTTTTTGTTTTCCTTGTAATGGTGCAATACAAAAAAGATCTTCTTCATTTAAACTATTTTCTAATAGATGAATACATATTTTAATTGGATAAGCAATTAATGTATCTTTTCTTTTTGAACACTGTTTTATAAGATCATAACCAAATAGTGGAATTAAATCATAATTTTCTAATTTTTGTTCAATTTCAGGCATTTTTCATGATAAATATCGAGATATGTTATTATAAAATTGATTTTCTTCATATAAATATTGATAAAAAAGTTTAATTGTAATTGAATATTCTTCACTAGCTATTTTATAAGTTTCAGTTGCATATATATCGCGTGATAATGTTCGAGATTGTTCATATTCACAACGAATATCTTCTAATTCACGTAAACGTTCATCAAAATTTGCTAATATTAAACGATCAGATCGTGTATGAAATCTTAACAAAATAATTAGAACATTTTTTATTTTAAATAATAAAAACAGAAACATTTTTAAATTGGCATCAGCTGTTTCTAATTTTTGTTGAGCTTTTTCATAATTATCTCTTAGTTCAGTCATCGTTTGACGAATAGTTGACTTATATTAGAAATAAATCAATAAGGGCGTGGGTGTTGATGAAAAGGACACCCACACTCATACCCACACCGCACATCCCACACCCATACCCACATCCCACACCCATACCCACACCCCACATCCCACACCCATACCCTTTATCCGTTTATTTGAAGAAGACATTAAGTTTAATGTATGGGATGGGCTAAAAGTAAGGGAATATACTGTTTTTCCCATTTCTATCTTATAGATGGTCGGTTAGGTCTCATATTTATACCACATATACTAGATGATATTAGTAAAAGATGGGGCATATGAACGATATTTAGATGTAGTGTAATTGATTCATAAGAAGGGAAAACTTGTGAGTTTCAACGAAACTTTTATTAGAAGTTCCGAAAAGAAAAAAAAACACGTGTAAATGTATGTCCTTGTGAAATTTTAATGAACCTTTCCATATGAACAACGACATACTACTATTGAAACCATGAAAATTCTATTTATTAATCAAAATTAACTCGATAAATGTACAGAAGATATTGAAACTCTTGTACCAGAAAAAGATCGCATACATTCAATGAGTTTTATGTAAATAAGCGTTACATAGAAGCTAGACATACATTTCTAATACACAATAGAACAGTTACAGAGTAGGCATGTAACGTGAAAGAAGTGGATTGATTTCGATTTCTAGTAGTTGTAACCAGCGCGTTGATGCTGGACTCAAGAATGTAATAGTAAAAATTAAGTCCTTTGTATTTGTATTCAAAAGTATAGGAGACGTTGCTACATATGGCCAACTGTCTTCTGATGCTGGAAAAGACAATGTATGGTTACATATCTTCTGTCGTCCATTTGCTTCTTCGATTAAAATTTCAGTGCCTACATTGAAGCTAGCACGAATGATTGCTACAGCCAGCCTCTTACTGACTAAATCGTTGAAATTCGGAGTATGTGGTCCACCTGAAGACATAGAAAAAATAAACTTTGTAACAACAATCAAAATGATTATAGTTTGAATATAGCTTAATCTACGATTCATAAAAAAATCTAACATCTTAAATCCTTTAGAACAAGAAGGACAATAGATGCTCACATAGCTAAACATTATTAAGTAGTATAGATTATTATTTAAAAATAATAACCTATTAAATGGCATATTTTAAGATTTTTAATGCCATTCGCATCGTAGAAGTGTATATGTACAATCGATGTATTCATCTAGCTTAGAAAGTAGGCAGTCATATATACTAAAACTTGATTATAAAGCTATCTCGAGCTCAACTCTTTAATATTTTAAATAAAAAGGAAAACCATTTGCTGTTTTTTTAAAAATTATATGTTGTTAAACCTTCATAGTCTTATATCGACAATACTAACAAAATGACTTTACCGGTCGCCGATCTAGCTTTGTTTTTCTATTGTAAGTGTCCAAAAGTTTTTGTAGTTCGTTTCTATGATTAACGTTAATAAAAAATAATCTTACTTAAAGAAACTTTTTGAATCAATGCTGCTCTTGCATCTTTTTTTGCTGAATACACGCATTCATGATTGATTGAGGATTCACGTCGTATAATAAGTCCATTTGCAGGTTGCTGAGTCCATGATTCCAAACGTACTTGTGCCTATAAGAATTGACAAATTCATGAAGATCAATTATTTGCTATTGTTATTCTGTTGCATTTTACTAACTGATCAATGTAGAATAAACGAAAAGAAAACTCTCATAAAATATAAAACTTTTATGTAGCATGACTGTTAGTAAAAGATAGTAGCCTATGTTATTTTGATTCTTTTTGCAAAGATCATGTGCCCTTTGCAAGAAAAATAAATGAACCCTATCCCAAGTTTGATGGAACACTCTGATTGAAAAGTAGTGACTAAAATTATATGAAAATTTTGTACAAAAAAAACAACAACTAGACTTTACCGCATTAACCGAGTCATATCCTCTGCATGATGCATTGCCTCCATTGATGATTGAAGCACGAGCGTAACCTATCCTGCCATAAGGAAGGTGAGCTTTGTTGGCAGATAAGACCAACTCAAGTGAACATTTGCCATTTAGACACGTATTACCTATAAAGAAAAATTGCAAGAAATATGTGAATATATTTATTTAAAAAAGCAAATATTCTGTTTTTGGCACGCTTTATTTTTTGCAACAGGGTGTCAACAACTTCGTGACATGCTCTCACAACATTTAGGATATTATTTCAACAAACAAAATTTTTCTTCTAATCGTATTTAGATAAGCCACGGAATAGAGAACTAATGCTGATGACATATTTATTGTAAAAAAAACTTGATAGATTGTTTACCTGTTAGATTCGCATGTGACATGTTCACATATTGGAAACTGTTTAATCTTAAAGGATGTTTATTGTTAGTAATTGAAGCAAAAGCCAATACACTTCCGTAGAATAAAGATTCGGCGATTGCGGCGTGGTCAAGCTTAGCACGAGTCATATTACACAAATAAAAATATACTTTGTGTAACTGAGCCTCATAAAACGTAGTTGAGAATAGATTCGAGTATCGAAAATTTACATGTCTTTCGATGCTCTTTGCACGGAAATCAACATAGGAGAAATTGACATCGATTAATATACTATCTTCAAACATGATTGATTTACCGATAGATCGATGAAAGTTACTCATTGAGAGATCTACATAATTAAATATGATTAAATCCAATTGACTGAAAGAAAAGTCGGCACCAATGAGAGAGGTTTGATCGAACATGGTGTTGCTAATATTACAATATCGAAAATTAGCACCATTTAATGAAGCAGCAGTAAAATCCCAACCATCGATTTGTAGGCCTTCGAACGTAGCTTCATTCAAACTAATCCCGACTAGTGAAAGTTTTTTTCGTGTATGTAGAGCTGATGAACCACGGAAGTCGAGTTTATTGAGTTGTGCACCAGATAAATCGAGTGGTTTATCATCAGTAGTCATCTGTTTAGCATCATGTAGAAATTCAATGAGTTGTCTTGATCGATTCGAGCCAAGTTGTCCTATCACATTCAACGTTTTTGCTCGAGCAAGTGCCGCCGTTAATGGATTTGAGTTGAGATATCCATCAGTTTTTTCTAGAAGATTACTGATTTCATTCATATAAGATAATGACAGCTGTGCTAGGTACTTAATTCTTTCTTGTTCATAGCGTTCATGTTCGATTGCCATTTGCTTTTCATAGCGTTGTTGTTCAACTTCTAGCTCATGTTGACGCTGCTCTTGTGACATGTTACGTTGCAGTTCCGCATTTAAGTCGTCAGTTCGTCGTGCCAATTCGGCAATATGCAGATCAAGATCGCGACGCATAGCAGAAATGTTCAAGTCTTGATAGCGTCTCAGTTCATCCTCCTCACGTTGCTGTCTGGCTATCAATTTATCTTGTTCACGTTGCAATGCGGAGAGATTCTGGTCTTGTTCTCGTAGTATACGTGCGAGTTCGCGATCTTCTAGACGTTGTTTATTAGCTACTCCTTGTTGATAGAATGTGATGATGACTGTGAATATACCAAGCGTGAGTGGTAGAATAAGATGAATAGCCATCTTGATGAATCCACGAAGGGAAAAACCACAGCGAAGGTTTTGATTTTTCTCAGAAATAGGATTTTCTGTCTTGGTCATACCGATGATGACAGAATCAGTCATCGAGCTTTGCTCTCGACTTGTAGGTAACATCACCATATAAGTCAAGTTTATGATAGTAAAAAAGAAACAGTGTTCGATAAAGTTCATTAATTCATCGGTAAATGGAAAACAGATGCCCGAAGTGTACACATGTCAATGGCTCTGTTTAACAAACACAGAATATGAGAAAAAAAGAGTCAAGTATTAATCTTGAAATACATGATCGTATGGCGGTCACTCTTTCTTGATAGTATGTATTGACAGAACTAATATTTTTTATGGATTTTCTCTTCATTTATTTGTTAGGAATTACCACAAATTTTTGGCAACATTATTCTAGACAATCTCTCCGCTAAATAATGTTAAAACTAAAGAATATTCTTTCATTATGCTGAATTATTATGAAAATCTGTCAAATAGAAATCAATCAATCTGAACTATTTTACATCAGTTAACTCAAAAACCCAACTTATTCTAGACATACTTGATTCTAAAAAAACAAATTGTGTTTGACTTGTATTTGCATTTTACTATAACAAATCAAGAAGAAATATCTCACACTATTGCATGAGTGACAGAACTAAATGACATATGTTTGTTCAATATCGAATGCTGTGTCATTCATTGATTTGATATTTACAACAGACTTGTCTAGATAACATCTCGATTGACATGTGTAAATATAATTTTAATAGAGCCGAATGCTAAGTATTTCTAAAAACAATACAGATCATCACATAGCAAGTCATATTATGTTCATATCAACCTGTACTTTATTTCTTCAGTTTGTCTCTATATGGATCTTCTGTTTTTTAACAGTGGCAAGTTCCAAAATTCTATGCAAACAAACTATCGAACCAATTGAATTATTGGAACCGATTACTTTTAATTCTTTCATTTTCACAGAACCGTTCGAAGATCTGACAACGTATTCTAACAACTATTGTACTTTGACAGTTCGCATTGATTATCAATCACATATTGTGCGGATTGTCTTTTCCACGGGAAGCTCCTTTGAAGGAATACAACAGTATGTTTCTCTTATTAGAAATATTGATTTGAAAAAAGGTACATCCGTCAACGAATATATCTATATATGTTCTACAATCTTCTGCAATTTTAACTACTTGAATGATAGTCTTTACACCGGTGAACTTAACTGGTTGCTGCGCTATAAGCATTACTTGAATGCTTCTCTGCAATCACGATTGTTATTGTTTAAAGAGAAACATGATAATACAAGTGATCTTCAGTGTCATGAAAATGATAAGAAGAAAGTCTTGTGTAATACAGGTGTCTGCTATGCAAAAGATCACAAAGATCTTAATATTTACACACGACATTGTGAGACACGCATTATAGACGAATCGGATCGTCATCGTTTAAGAGTCGACATGTTTGCATATCCAGAGTCACAAAGTCGAAAAATGTGGACTGTTGCATACGCATGCAACATTAATTTATGTAATAGCTGGGAAATATTTAGTCAAATACACGAGTTTCTTAATTTGTCTGATGATGGATTGAATTTAGTTTGGCCGACAAATATCACTAAGTTCCAAACAACAACGCGATCTACAACAAGCATGAAACAACGTTTTACATCTTCCATCATCAAACGAACCATATTGTCTACAGCAGCATCTCGAAATTTTACCTCCATTAATGTCATCAATGTTTCTGACTCGGTGTCCTTCATCACAAGTGCCATAACAATTGCAAACCTTTTAAGTAGCAGAGATAATATAAAAGAAGAAACATCAGCTTTAATGAACACCGCCCTGAACATCTCTTTATGTGATGAAACATCATCTATGTCATTTGTAAATAGTAGCACTTATCAAGTTAAGATTGAAATATTCACTTTTATATGTTTCTTCATCATCAACTCACTGCTGTAACTTGGCAAGATTCGAGTACAATGTATCCATATTAATCAGCGTGACGTTTTCTTTTTCACAATTTATTCTTTAACATTATATTGGTTTTGTCTTGTAGACTATATGCGCAGCAGTCTACACTTAATAGAATCATACAAAAATAGTGACATGCGAAAAGAGATTAATAAGTTCTACCGCTAACACTGACTTGTGTATGATAAATAATTAATGGATTTATATCATTGATTCGTTGTAGTTTTAAAAGAGTTCAGGTGAAAAATATATTTGATATGTGTAATGAAAAGACTAGAAAAATAACTGAGAAAACATCGCTATATAAAGCTGTAGCCTGTAATGAATTTAAAAAAAAACGATTTTCCAAATGTTTTAACATAAATACGCTCAATAATCGACAACAGTCATTAATCAATCAGCGACCGTCATATCAGGTAGCCATTTTTTGAGGGTGTGGGTGAGGGTGGAGGGTGTGGATGAAAAATGAATGAGGTGAAAGGTGATGCTTCGAATCACATCCATACTTTCATCAAACACTCGTTCACATTTTACATACTTAATGCTGAACTCTGTATTCTCATGTTTTTATAAATGCGGTTCAGCAACAGATTTAATGAAAAAGGAAGGGTTATTCCTGATTAGTGGAATTTATAATGGCATAAACAAAATTTATATATGTGGCAGTTGAGTTTAGAATCTAGTTGAGATTGGAATAAATGTTAAATAGTAATATGTTTGCTACAAAGTTTTGTCAATAAATGAATGAGAAAGTTTGTTTTTTATTTTCAAATTTTATGTCAATTTGTTGTTGTTTACAATTGAACTTATAAATATGTATGACAGATTGTTATGTTGGTATGTGATTATGAAGAAAAGCATTGTTTATTGAGTTGTATTGTAATGAGTTTTTGATGTAAGAAACTTCGACTCTTTTGTTTTTACCGATGAGTGTGTGATGATTAAATATTTTGTTCTGTTGTATTATCTGTCTTTCTGGTAGTTTAGGTTTTTTTTAATGAGTGGGATATTGAATGAATCATTAAATGCAAGTTTTATGATTATTTGTTATCTACATATTTAATTTTTTATTTTAATGCTGGGGACATGGACACGTTAGGATATTGAATGATTGGTTGAATCGAAATTTCAAATACAATAGCTCTTGTTGTATTGAAAATATCTGTTGAGAGCTTTATTTTGATTCGAACGATATTAAGTGATTGGTTATATTTCACCTATTCGTTTTGATGAGGAATATGGTAGGAATTTCTTTAATCTGTATAACCTATGGTCTTGAATTATATAGTGAATATGAGAAGATATTGACAAATTAGTTTTTTTGAGAATTTTACTTAATTTTTTTTAAATACATGAATTTCAGTTTTATGAAAATATGATTTTCGTTAGTGGCTTCTAGAAGCTAAATGTTCATGGGAAGAAGCATTTTAACAATTACTGGAAAAGTAGTGGTAAGATTTTATATACTGAAAGTAATATTTTCTTGATTTAAGATGTTCTTAGAAGTCAAAAAAAGATCAAAGTATATTTTTTAAATGATGGTCAGACGAATCCGTGAACTTTTACGGTTACTGATTTTTTAAATGCTAGCTTTTTTGTTTCAAGCTGTGCTTTTTCATAAATGCATGGTGCAATCTTGCTTATATGATAGAATATTATTAAATAGAATTTGGGCACGTGATGAGTTCTACTCGAAAATTCTCCAGGGATCTACTGATAAATTATACCACAAGAATGAAAATATTCCATACATAGGATTACTTAACCTTATAAAAATGTTGAAACAAGAAAATTTTAATCGGAACTCTCTCAAACACAGTTTCGGTGATATTTATAGAACCATAAAATTTTCAGGAATAACGGTTGCTCGTTTCTCCAGGTACAAAGCGCTGAAGAAAAGTCTATTTTTAGCAAATTGTTGCAGAATGTGGTGGATTTTCTTCTCTTTCAAATATTTTAACATAGAAGTGTCCGTTTTTATTGGAAATTTTAAAATACGTCAAGGATTATAAACCTATTTGTTGACTAAATTTCAGCCTAAAATCCATATCTTTTAGTTTTCTGTAAGGTCGAATACTCCTGTCAAAGGGTATAGCACAAGTCCAGCTTATGGCCATGGTAACTATTTTTAGCTATAGGATGCGTATACTGGGAATCTGCAATCTATATTTTTATGATTAAGTTTCATCTATTCTAATGAAAGTTCTTTAGGCAACGATGTTTTTGGTACGTACATGAGATACTTGAGAATCTCGTGCAAGAAAGTTCTGTAGTATAAACGAATCTTGTGACAAGACTTGAAGCCTTGTAGCAAGCTCAGTTTCTTGAGTTTCTTGTCGAATCTGCTTAATATCCTTGCTCATCCGTTTGAATTCTAATTCAAGCGTTTCTGCCAGAAAAGAACTGTTTTTAGTTGTTTCTTATTTTTAGTTCAAATAGGACTCAATGATTAATAAGAATTCATAGTTTTATTTTCTTGATTGAACGTATGAGTTACTTGTACTCATGCAAAGGCTATGCTAGTTTTCCTGATCAAGAAAGTTCTACGCTACAGACAAGCCATAAGACGTGTGCAAGTCAAAAGAATCCAAAAAAATTGTGCGCCTAGAGAAGCTTCTTTGTCTTTGAAGGGTTAATCTTTCTTCTGGTTTCAATTTATAGTTGCTCATGTTTTTGAATTTTACAACTGACATTTAGTAGGGTGATTTGTGTTCGACATATATTTTTGTTAATTTCATAGTCAAGAAGAAAAAATGTACTCAGACAATCATTCGAACTATAGGTTTTAGGAAAATTTTGGAATTAGTTTTAACATTTTTTCTTTTTTTTGTAGTTAGACTAATTTCGATTAAATTAGCATTCACTAACGTAAATGTGACACTGTTATTTTCACTAGGACACGCAGCCACACTCTGTTGAAGTCTATAGTCAGCAAAGTGAATGATAGTTTTTCAGAATATACGATCGTCTTCAAGTTCACATGAACACTCATATGCTCAAATCATTTGTCACGTGAAGTGATTTTTAGATTGATCGAAGTGCATCGTGACAATTATCATTTGTCGTTGCTATTCTGTGAGTCGATCGTTCTTCTAGAATATACTAATTTTGGTATTCTTCATTAAATGAACAAGAATCTTAATCTGAAGAACGATCTATTCATAATGCTTGGAAAGTCAGCAGAATTATTAGGAGTAATTCGATGTAACTATCTCGAAATCAACAATGTATTATTTTTCTCTGTTATTTTTCTAATATAAGAATAAAATACAATGATACATTCTCTTTTTTTTTTATTAACGAATAAAAACCGTAATTATTTTCACTGCTGTTGAAGTTTTCCTTGTTGTTTCTGTACATAGATGAATGCTTCAGTAAATTTATCGACAAGTTTGATATCATTTTCATCCATTTGTCGTTCACATTTATTTTCTAGATGGGGTTGTATGATATTTTGATTGAGATATTCTTGGAGTAGTTTCATTGCTTTCGTACTTTTTATTCCATATTCTTGCTTGCTTACTTCACTAATAAAATTGTTCATTGCTCTTTTCAACAATCTACCACCTGAATTCGATTGCTGTTCAATGATGCTTTGTAAATCAGCTCGCTGTGTTGAAGCTGTACCAAAAGTAATATTAAGAGCATCGAAAATTCGACGATAATCTTCAATCGCTTGATGATTGTTAGTTAAACGATCAATATCATTCTTAAATTGGTTTTCACGTTCAATAACTGGACCAAGCAATTGACGAACATTAGCATTCAATTGGTGTTTAGTCTTTTCAAAAATAGAAAATTTGTCAGACGATTGTAGAATATTGGTAATGAGTTTATGTGTTCGATTGTCAAAGCCTCCAGTTGAATTGAACTGTTTAATAGTTGTTGTGAAAAGATCACGAATTTCAGTTTGTTCAAGTTTAATAACATGTTCAAGAGCATTTTGTAGAACTATGCCAAACATATCGGTGAGTGGCAATTTATTGACATGTTTATCCATAGTAGTAAGTGCATGTGAAAGAATGTCTTGGTCATTATTGCTAATTACATGTTGACTACTAGGTGTGTGATGATGAAAAAGATCAAACATTTCCTTTTCTTTACCGTTGAACAATGATTTTTCATTGAATAAGCTCATGAATCGATCAATATCTGTTGGCATGGCTTGTCTCAACATTTGTTCTAAGTCATCACCGAGCATTGCTTGAGCATTTTTTATCCATTCGGGTAGTTGTTTTGCAAAATTAATGATATTCTTATCGATTCCGGCAATATCTAATCCTTCTATAGCAATTTGCGTAACAGTTTCTATAGAGAATTCATTTGTGCCTGTTAGATGAACGGCATCGACAGCGATACCAACGATTTTGATGTTTTCTAACGAGACGGCCGGCTGAAGAAATTTGAGCAAGGATACACCGACACACAACAGATCTTTGCCATATTTGATCACTGTCGATTCGAAATAATCGGCTAGACCGAAATCGGATGTGATTTTTGTCGCTAAAATTCATTGAAATTTTCTCGTTTATTCAAAACATTAATCCTTGTTTGTTTTTTCTTATAACTTACCAATAGCTCTATAGACATCGATCAATCCATCAAGAATCATCGATGTACCTAATCGATAATGACCTACAGCACATAAGAATGCTCCGCCAACAATCTGTGCAATTCCCATGACAAAAATGAAAACAGTTTTCCACCAACATCGTTTCTGTTCAATAATAAATACATATCGCCACATTAATCCTTCGGCAAGCCATTCTTCTCGTTCAGCATGAATATCATTTATTAATGGTTCAAATTTTGTTCCTTGTAAACAGGCTAATGTCTCTGGCCAATGCTCGAAACGACACCATATTTCATGTTTATCTTCGTTGAATTGTGTCAATTGTTCACGACTACTCTTCAAATTTGCTTGAACGATTTCAAGATAGATCAATTCAGTAAGAATCGTTTGATCGACAGGACCTTTTCTCTGCAATAAGAATTTAATTTTGAATAACAATTTTGATTTATTACTACTTACTTGTGTTGTACTATCTTGAGACGTAGGTGGATCATAAAAAATCTGAATAAGTTTGCGTGTTTCAATCTCTAGATGAAGTAAACAAAGTGTCTCATCCAACGCTCGTATAACTCGATTGATTGATGATTGATTATTTGCAATATGACACGGTATTGTATTGTAATGAGCAATAAAATCTTGATCATCTAATTGTAATGCTCGTTCGTATAATTTCAATGCTCTTTCTCTTTTATCGCTTAGTTCATTCATACACATGGCATGAAAACCGGCATAAATAAAATATTTTGGATGAGCAATCAATTGACTGACTGCTTCACATTGAAGATCAGCTAAATATTGAGCTCGAGATTGTTTCAGATCTTGTGACATAACGGACAATGATCTATCATTTTCAAGTGACACATTATGTTTCAAAGTGATGATTGAAGCATCGAGTCGTTGTTGTATGTCGGTAGCAAATTTTGGAAAACACTGTTCGGCTATATTTTCATTTTCATCACAAAATGAAGCCCATAGTTCACGAAATGAACTGAAACCTGGCTTGAATACGTCATTGCTAAATGGAAGATCATTCTTTTTTGAATGAGCCAAATCGAGAAAACGTACGAGAAGACGATCTTTTGCTTCAATTCGCTTCACTTCATCTATAGCTTCGTTCATTTCACGTGTTTCTTGTTGATCTCGAATTTGTTTCCATCTATTGATTGTTTCAATGTCATCGATCTTATTCAATGTTGCCACAGACTTTTTATTATAGACAATCAATCGAGCTGAACCCCGTTGACCTTGTCGTCCAGCCCGTCCAAATGCTTGTTGCTCAATACGTGAATTTTTTGGCATAAATGTTACGATTACATGTAAACCACCATGATTATTAATTTCTGTCGTTGTTTTCAGATCAGTACCTCGTCCAGCTAGATTTGTGGCTACAATCACATCACCTGAATGAACTAGCTCTGGTTTATTATGTTCAGCTAGATCACTGCGAAGATACAGATTCAAATGAGGATGTTGAGAGTGTAATGATAACTGAACATCATCAGCATCTTGAATTGTTTGACAAATAATTAAAACAGCTCGACGATTAGTAATGGCTATCGTTTCACATTCCACTCGAATTTTATTCAACCAATCTTTACGATCTCGACCGAATTGACCTGTCAAAAAAAAAATGAAGAGCTTTACACAATATGAAATACAAGATGGAAAATTTTCAATGAATGAAAGAAATTTTTAATGCGTCAAAGATGCTAGCACAATTAAACTTACTTGGATAGGTATCAAACATACTATCTACATATTTGGGCACAATAACAGTATCGATTTGATAGACTGATTGAATAAAATTTCGTGCATCTTTACCACCTAATGTTCCCGTTACACCATATAAATGCGGTTGATATCGTTTGAAAAGAGTGACATTTGAAAAAAATGAATCACAGATGCGTTCGGGTGTCATGCGTAAATTATGTTTTAACTGAAGAAATTGATGAACACCATCACTCCAATTCATATTCAAATGAGACACACCTGTATTTGCATAATCTACTACTATTATTCGTCCATCCTTACTAATAACATAATCAACATCTTGTTGTAAATCATAGAGTGCTCGTCTTGCACCCTTTATCCATTTTGGTAATTTAGTATTGATATAGGATTGACGATATGCCGGAAAACGAATAAGTTTGTTATTCTTTAATTTGTCTTGAATAAAAGTTAGAGCATCGACTATATAAAACGATTTCAAATTCAGTTAGTTTTTTTCTTTTTTGAATTAAAAAAAACATTCTTACTTTTGACATAGCCATGTGGTTGTCGAATGACAAATTCATTCTCTTCAGTAATATTGAATTTTTGAAAGAACGCGAAGATAAATCGCAAAATAACGTTTAATAATTTGTATCCAGGTGTAAGCGATGCTAATTGTGTATAATGTTGATTTTGATCAATAAACATACTATCGACTTCATCGACAATCGCCGCTTCATAAGGTCGATGAGCACGTACTTCGGTTTGCAAATAAAATTCAGTACGTAGTAGATCACCAGCAAAATGATTAACTGTTCCGTAGACGATATGAACGTTATAGTTTGGACTTTCAGGAGGATCATAACAATTGTGTCCAACTGTGAGATCAAACATTTGATAGAAAGATGCAAATTCCTCGGCATCACGTCGAGCAAGAATTTCTGAAGTGGTGATTATATCAACATGTTTATTCAATGGAGGAAGTGAAAGATAAACAGCCACTACAGTAGAAAAATACGGGATGTATTAAAACAACAATAAATCTTTTTTCTTTAAACTTTCACTTCAAAATATGTCCCTAATAGGCATGTGAAAAACTAATAATGATATTGATTGCATTCCGACACGGATTTTTTTCGGGTATGTTTCGACGACTTGTGATTGAATTCTGAGTGGAACTTGTCTGATGAAAACCGTGTCAAAATTCAATTGCAAGGAACTCTTCCGAACTATAATGGAATCGATTATAACTCAACGGAACTTAAAGGAGTCGTTGCCACAAAAAAAGTGATACTTATCGGTTTCAACAGTTGGAACTGTGGGTCTTGCTTGATATTGATTTATTGACTTTGATTAGAAATTTCTCTACTTTTTTTACAGATATTATTATCATGTGTAACTTGCTAGGCTCTTAGGAATTACTGCATAAGAGCAACGGTCTAGCACCATAGAGGAGCACATTGCTAACAAGTTTTATCAATTTGAGAAAAGCATATTTGTTGTCTAATGAACATTTCTAACAAGATACGAATACAGAATAGAGGGATTTCAGTTTCTCCTTTGAAGAGAATGACTTTTTTGGAACAATGAGGATAACGTAATTCACAGAACTTATACGAGTTCAAATTCTGAACTTACACATAGCTACAATAATAGATTTGCCTTCGCCAGTGCATATTTGTGCTAATCGTCCTTGACTATGATGTCGGTTTTCAATTAGAAGAAGAAGAGATAAAATCTGAATATCTCTTGGGCGATATTGTGTGTGAAGATGTGCTGCTTGCACAATGACAGCAATCGTGTGAAGTTCATCGTTGTTCACTTTACGTTGTCGAATATCTGAAGATTTCCATCGAGATGTTTGTGTTTCGTAATATTTCTTTACTGTTCGAAATCTTTGCTCCAATTCAGTTATATTCAAAGATGAATTTTCCCGAGCAAGTTCTTGAAGAAGTATTGGAACTGATTTAACTTTACCTTGTTCGTCAATAATTTTATTCAATTCGTCCATCCATTGAAGTTCTGGATGTGTAGTAATTGTGTTGACAATTCGTTCAATATGCCATGAAAGTGATATTCCATTGGTTATAATCGTATCAACAACGAGAACGGCTGTTTTCAGTGCTGAGATATTATTTTTTCTTTGTGAACTATTGAACGTCTGTTCGAGTGATTGAATTGCGGAATAGTCCCATTTTAATTGAGACAATTCAGCAAGAATGGCATTTAACGAGATTCGATAATCATTTAGTGACTCTTCAACTGCAGCCAAAAAACTTGGTATTATTGATATGGTTGAGCATAATTCAAATGAAAGAAGTTGATGAGTCGCATAGCTATCATCAAGTGATGGTTGGTCGACTATGCTAGAAGAAGTGACAGATCATCACTTGATACTACAATCTGAATCTGAAAAAAAAAGTAGATAGTACTTATGGTTTTGGCTATTCAATTGAGATTGCTGTGAGGATGAAGTCGAATTGAAAAGTGTCGATGATGTCAAGTCCACAGTCATTGCTGCATTTGGAATAATTACTGGTGCAAAATCGAAAGATATTGGATTATTATTGTTATTCGACTCAGATAGAAGTGCAGCACGTAAACAATCGAGCCATGCTTCACACGGAACTTCAACTGATTGTATTACTTGAAGAATTTTATCTACTGACAACATTGGTACAGTGACGATATCACGTGTTAAAAGTTCATATAAATGGCACAGGTTCTTTTCCAACTTCTCTGGCATCGATTTTTCAAACCGACTTGTCCAATCAACGATCGTTTGTAGTAAACAGGATTTCTGCTCATATGTCCATGATTTCAATTCAAACAAAAGTTCACAAACAATTTTATAATGATTCATAGCTTGACTAGATGACGCCATGATCCGACTGTCTCTATATCACCACAAGTGTTTCACTTATACACGCCGATTAATCATTGCGTCTCACCATAAATAACCGTAACGCTACCAACTCAGACAAAATCGGTAAAAACAATGTGTTTTTAACCGGTAAAAAATGTGCGCTTTTTATGTTCTCAAAAGAATTGTTTTGAAAAAGAAAGTAAATCGGAAGACGATAATGCACACAAACTTGCTTTTTCACAGCAATGCAATTTGTTTTTTTTTATCGTCTTTTCAGGTAAAAAACGCACATGCTAACGCGCTACAATGAGCCCTTATTTGATTGGCTACCGTACACAGGCGTTTGCACGCCGTATTCTACCGAGTATCGGTGGGCGTGAGTTGATGTAACTTAGTGGAAAAAGAGAAGACTTTCTTCATAGAACGAACTCACATCTCTACATCGGAGAAAAGTAATGAAGCTCGAATTTCTATTGGAGGCTGTTCTAGACTAATCTAAGATGGTCTGTATTCATCTTTTGATCCGACATTGGACGTAATCCAAATTTCAACACTGACATATAGATATGCGAGAACAAGACTAACAGTCTACTTTTCATGTATCAATTCGTGGAGAGAACCCGCTCACAATATATTTAACGCTTAGCGTATATCAAACCAGGCCTAACTTCTGCCTTATTCATATTCTATTTATGATCTTCAGGAGAATTCGTTACTACAAAGGTACAGAGCTATGATGTAATGACAAATAACTCTGATGATGTTTCTTATCCTATTTTAACCCATTTACTAGGCGTATTCTTTTCGTTTCATAGGAATATTTGATTCTGTTCCTGCACATTCATATATATATATATACATATATGTGTGATCATTCGTGTTACATCTGGAATTATTCTTGTTCATTTCTTCTCTAAAACCTATACGCAGTTTTTATTCGAACAGAATTTTTAATTTCGCTTCGATGCATTTTTTATGATCACTTTAGTACACGTGGTGTTTAAATAAGCAAAAGAATGTTACTTAACGACAATAAATTTCGCTTTCGCAGCACAGAAATCTGATTAGACTAACGTTTAGTCTCGATTAGACCTTTGAAAACGAAAACAAAATATTTATTATATTCTCTGTAACCGTTTTTTGGATCGTAACGCTTTTGTGAGCATTTAAATGACTTTAAAGCAAACGCGTTTCTCGTTGCCCAGCACGAGTGCATCAGATGAGATTTGATAATGGTTTCTGCAGAGCAGAAGGTAGGGAGCTTACTACCGAACAACATATTCTTGTTGAATCTTTTCTTTCTTTGTCATATTTCTTCATATTAAAAAATAATTTATTTGTATCACAATTATAATAGTTCATGAAGTCATGTGAATTCGGAAACATTTCCGTCTTTAATTTAAAATTTAAAGTGCAATTGTTACTTTAAATTTAAAATCATTAATTCTGTAGAACTTATTATCAATGAAAATAATGCAAATATATTTAAAAATAGAATTTCGCCTACAAAAAAAATTTAAGCTTCGTTTCCCTTGCCCATCCTGATCCTCCCTTAGTTGAAAAACTTTCATATAATGAAGCATGAAAAACTAAAAAGGCATTTTTTTAACTTCAACTTTAACTTTGAATTTCATGTTGAAGTTAAAGTGCTGCATCTAATGTATACTCTGCACAAGGACAGAATTGATTTCATGAAGAGAATAATGATGATATGAACTAAAATTATATAATTCCAATATTGTTTGTGAATGAAGCTAATTACATCTTTATGAAAATGAAAGACAGATGCAGACGCTCAGAAGTTTTCTGATGTAAAACCATTTGTTCTTAAGTGTTTCACAAGACACCTAAATAGTAAGCTATATTTTAAAATTATTCATTATCAAAAGAAGTCATTAAGATCACGAGTGAAATAAGACTTGGCAATGCCTTCAAAATCATTTATAAGAGAATTCCAATACTTTTTTCTCAGATAAAGTAAGAAATCCTAAAGTTATTTTCCTATCAAACATAGACCTCGTCAAGACCTTGATTAGGCTATTGGAACATAGAGTCGACTCTATACTACAAATCTTCTAGTTAACAAGATAGTTTCTTTTTACCAAGAGTGGAGGTGTGAATGTGAATGCCGATTGAACTTGTACACCCATACGCTCAAAAAAAAAATACTATAAATGAAAAATGTCTTCATCTGGATCTACACCCACACCTACACCCTTTCATCACCAAAGGTGCATGAAGTCTTTAAGAAAGGCAAGTTTTACATCATTTTCGGTGGTTTTTAGGTGCAAAAGTCGCCTTTTACAAAACGTCTTCATGCATCTTTTATGATGAAATTAGCTGGTTTTGGTGTTGTTAGAGTTCGTTCTTC